TTGACCTCGAAATGTTGTTCTCCTTCAATAAGGAGGGGAACTGGAGGGGGGTTTGGTCCGGATGACGTGAGGAGGTATGTTCAGGTTTCAATAAACTAACGTGAAACACTGGGTGGATCTTCCTAAAGGTTTTCGGTATCTCTAACTGTACTGTGACCGGGTTTACAATTCGTACAATAGGAAAAGGGCCCACATACTTAGACCCAAGTTTTTTTGACTTTTGGGTAGTTTGTAGATACTTAGTGGAGAGGAAAACCCTATCCCCCACTTGGTAGTCCTTTGGCATAGTTCTTGTCAACCTGTTTTTTATGAGCTCGGTGAGCCTTGTCTAACGCCTTACAAGTGACGGGCCAAGTAAACTGAAGCTGCTCAATCCAGTCCACCAAGGAAGGGACTTGAGGGTTTTCCTGCGGTAGTTCTGGGATGGGCACAAAGTCTTGACCAAACACCACCTTGAAGGGGGTAAAACCAGTGCTACTATGTATGGAGTTATTATAAGTGACCTCTGCAAATGGCAGTAAGTCTGCCCAGTTACCTTGCTGATAATTTACATAACACCTGAGGTATTGTTCTAGTACCGAGTTAGCCCTTTCACAAGCCCCCTTTTGTCTGAGGATGGTGAGAGGAGCTTAGCCCTTGGGCAGAGCCTAACAACCTCAGGAACTCCCTCCAGAAGTGGGAGGTGAACTGAACCCCTCTGTCCGAAATTATTCATTCGGGAACACTGTGTAACCTATACACATGTTGAATAAACAGTTTAGCCAACACCTTTGCTGAGGGAATTTTGGGGCATGGTACAAACTGCACCTGCTTGGAGAACAAGTCCATAATCACCCAAATGACTGTATTTCCACCACTTTCGGGTAGTGCAACAATAAAGTTCATGGATATCTCCTTCCAAGGAGCTCCAGGTCTGGCAATGTTCTGGAGTAACCCAGGCGGCTTCCCAGGTGGCCTCTTGGCAGAAGCACACACAGAACAGCTAGCGACATATGCCTCTATGTTCTTCTTCAGCTGTCGTTTAACTAAATGTAATGAAGCCCCATTTCAGGTTTTTATCAATAAAGTTTCACAATTCCTCCAGCTCACGAGGGGTGATCGAGTAGATCTTTGGTTTAGAGAGTTTCAACCCTGGGAGGATTTCTATACCACAGTCCGTGGGCCGATGGGGTGGGAGCACATCTGACGCCCTCTCGCTGAATGCCTCCCTGAGGTCCCAATATTCCTTAGGAATTTTCTCCTCCCCAGCAACACATTCGCTCACTGCCGCTGCCAGCTCCTTCACAGCTTTGGCCATGGAGAAGGGTTTTCCCCCATCCTTCCCCTGCAGGGTGGAGCGGATGCGCAAGAAACCCTTCCTCCAATTCACATGAGGGTTCCATTTCTGGAGCCAGACTAGTCCGAGCAAGAGGGGTCATTCCATTCCAGGAACACAAAGTCTCTCAGAGGTCCCCCATCCACATTTCAACTGGTTCAGTCACAAAGTGGGCTGCCCCCCCCCAGCTACTGACCCATCCAACTGGCAAAACGCTATGGGCACTTTCATTGTCCTCAGTGTCAGTCCCATTTTTTCCACCACCTCTGGGCTGATTACACACCTAGTACACCCAAAGTCCAAAAGGCTTCCCCTGGGCGCCAGATGATGGCACCCTTAACTCAGGGGGAAATGTTACCGGTTCGGTCCGGTTTGCCTGAACCATTGGTAAAAAAGGCTACTGGTTCGCAGAACCTGTAGTAAAAAATGTAAAAAAAAAAAAAAAGTTCCGACGATCAGCTGAGCAATGCACGATCGTCGAACTTTTTTTTTTTACTTTTTTTGGCATTTTTTTACTACCGGTTCTCTGGAACCGGTAGTTAAAACGCTTTAAAAAGTTCCAAAGATTGCACGTCGCTCAGCTGATCGTCAGAATTTTTTATTTTTTTTTTTACATTTTAGGCATTTTTTACTATTGGTTCTCCAGAACTGGTAGTAAAAAATGCTTTTAAAAAGTTTTTTAAAAAGGCTCTGACAATCACAGATGTGCTGCGCAATCATCAGAGCCTTTTTTTTTTACTTTTAAAAGCATTTTTTAAAATCTATTTGGCGAATAGGTTGTAAAAAAATGCTTTTAAAAGTAAAGAAAAGGCTCTATAGATGGCGCGCCACAGCTGATCACCCCTCCCCCCCACATGTGCTGTTCTACTTAACCCATGCCTCCTTTTGGTGTGCACTGCGTGTGTGCACACCTTGTATTTGGTGCGTGGTGCATACTGTGCATGTGCGTGCACAGCACATGCTTGGCGTGCAGCGCGCATGCGCAGCCAGCGAACTGCTAGTAAACCGGTTCAGATTTCACTACTGCCTTAACTACACCTGGGGCCCAGGTGCTGACTTACCAGGGGGTCATTGTCAGTTTCGCTGTCCCCTGGGGTGGTCAGAACTCCCAGCTCCTCCAGGCCTGGAGGAGCAAACTCAATGACTTCCACACCTTTCAGGGCTCTTTCGCGGTTCTTTGCTAGCAGATTCTCAGCTGTCTTTCCTCCAGCTGAGGTCAGCTTGGGGCCAGGTTTGGAGAAACAATCAGCTCGGTGCCCCTCCTTTCCACATCTGAAGGATGTGGTGGACCTGGCTTGGATACTGGGCCCCCTTTGGCCACTCTAGGGGTCTCTTTGGGGGCAGAGCTGTTCCAGCTGTGCCCCCCATACTGTTCTCTGGCCTGGTCAATTTCCACATCAGCCGCCAACACATACCAATGCTGCAGGTCTCAGGGGGGCCCTCGGGAACAACAGCCTTGGTAGTCTTCCTCATCTTTGTAGCATTCCATCAGGGCCTCTGCGGACCACCCCTGCATGTGGACAACCAGCTGGTGAAATTCCTGGGTGTATTCAGCCACCGATCTTTTCCCCTTGGGTAGGGTTTTCATCCTGCTTCTAGTCTTTCATTCATCAAAACGCACTCGGAGAGCCGTCATAAACAAGTTGTAATCCCTCAGCAGTGGGGAATCCTCATTATGTAGGGCCACCATCCACTCAGGTGCGGTCCCCTCCAGGGCCATGACACACCGCACCTTCGCCGCCTCCGAGGCAAAATCGTCCCCATATTCCTGCATATGATTCCAACTTGGGCTAGGAAGAATCCCAAAGCCTTGGGATCTCCTCCATATTTTACTCCTAGCTGAGGAATCTTTGGAATTCAGCGCCTCCGAGGGATTACCCCCCCCCACCACCACCACCAGTCTGCACCACTTGAATGCACTGGCTCTCTTTCATATGCTCTCTGACTTTCAAGAGCTTCTTTCAAGAAAAGCAGGACTTTGGTCAGCAGGAGGTCTTCTTTGTCAGCTTCCTGCCAGGCAGCCTCTCCCAGCCGGCATCTAGCAGCTGTCACCCCGGGGGGTGGGATCTCCGGAGCCTCCATCCGTCCTACACCCAGTGACCATTTGGCTCTGACTGGCTTTTCTTCAATCTGCAGTTCAGATACCATTCCGACTCTTCCCAGCCACCGCGGGTCTGGGGGAGAGTTGACCCAGCAGCTCCCATGTCCTCCTGGTCACTGCGTTGGTTAGACATTCTTTGCTCAGCCCCCACGTTAGAGTTTTCTCTGGGATGGCTGATAAAGCAGATCTTGCTTAATGTCAGGTGTGCCTCCGTTCAAAACTCAAGAAAGAAAAACCCCAACTCTATGTTTGTAGAGAAAGGTACTTTTACTGAGTATGAACTGATAGCAACAAAAGAAAAGCAAGATCTGAGGCTAGAGGCACAAAAATTACATATTGAAAGTACTCCCAAATCCCTCCCCCCAAGGACCCTGGCTGAATGTCCAATTCCCAGACCCCCATGGTATGCCAGAACAGTTGACCTTGACTGGCTATCAACAAGCCCATTCAGGTGCACAGAAGACGATGAGAGCATCCCTCCCTTTTCCTCCCTTTTCAGTCACATCACAAGACATCTCCATCAGCTCGCTTCCACACCCAAATACCTATACCTTCTCTCCCCCCCCCATTATCATGGCAGCCGATAGCAAGCAAGAATCATAGAGGCTGAAACCACTGCTCACAAATAGCTCCAGCACAAATTCTTATCCCAGCTTTGGTCTAGCCAAAATGGCCATTGTCTCTGCTGCCAATCAGGAGGTTTTCTTTGGATGAAATGAGGAAATTGCTGTTTCCTCATGATCTACAAAGCATCCCTCCTTTCTTCACCACCCCTCCAGGGTGGCTTTGGCCCAGTAGGGTCTCCTGGCAAGCAGGTTTCGACTGGGTTTCATGGTGCTCACGGAGCTCCACTATCCCGTAACCATCCAACTGGTCAAATCCTCTTTTGGCACTTCTTGGTAAGATAGAACATTGTGGGATAAACAGTACCAATACTTTTGTCTAAACAAAAGGGACAAAATAGTCCAATCTATCAGAAGCAGTACTGTAGAAGACAGAATAGGAATACAAATCAAAATAGACTAGAAAATGGTAAGAGAATACCTATACAGTCTAGACAAGTGGAAATCACCAGGACCAGATGGATTACACCCCATGGTTCTGAAGGAGCTGGCAGACGTGATCTTGGAACCACTGAACAAAATTTTTCAAACTCCTAGAACAACAGGGAACTACTGCTGGAGTTGAAAAGAGCTGATGTGGTTCCAATCTTTAAAAAAAAATGTGAGGGGGGAATGGATCTGGAAGCCATTCCCAATCAGCCTGACATCAGTACCTGGGAAAATCCTGGAAAGATAATAGAGCATCTAGGAATGAGCACAGCTATTACTAGAAACCAACATGACTTTGTTAAAAACAGATCATGCCAGACAAACCTTATTGCTTATTGCAAACCTTATAAAGTGACTAAATTAGAGAATCGGGGAAATGCTGTGGATATAGTTTACTTAGGCTTCAGTAAGGCATTTGACAAAGTAGGCTGCAGTTTATATCCACCAGATAGATTCACTGGCTGACCAACCACGTTCAGTGTAGACTTCAGTGAAACTACATCTACATGGAATGAAATATGCAGTGGCATACCTCAAGGTTCTGTCTTGGGTCCAGTGCTTTTCAATATCTTCATAAATGACCTAGATGAAAGGATTGAAGGGGCACTCATCAAATTTGCATGCAACAAGCTGGGGGGAATTGCTAACATTTCAGAAGATACTCATGATTCAGTTGATAGAACTGAGCATAGGGCCTTAGCCAACAGGATGCAGTTCAGTTCAGTATGAGTGTGCTGCAACTACCAAAAAAAGCCTATGAGGTCCTGGGCTGCATCAGCAGAGGGATAGCATCAAGATCATGAGAAGTGATAGTACTGTTTTATACTGCATTAGTGAGTCCACACTTGGAATGCTGCATCCAATTCTGGTCACTATGTTACAAAAAAAGATGCTGAAAGATTGGAGAGAAGAGCAACAAAGATATTAAGGGGTCTGGAAGCTAAACTGCATTAGGAATAGTTAAGGGAATTAGGCGTTTCAAGTAGTTTTAATCATAGAAGGACGCACAACAAGCCATCATTACAGGTATATATCTACATAAGACAGGAACTGGAAATATCTCACAGGAGCATCTGAAGACAGCTTCTCGAGAGTCAGGGAATACTCAAACTAATCGTGCCAAGACTGCAGACATAACCACTATAACATCTTCCCTTTTTCATTAATACAACTATCACATTTTAAAACATTATAAAACTTTATTAACCTTATAAGCATTATATATATCCATTAAAATGATATAAAACACTATATTATTAAAACATTATAAACATTATAAAACATAGTGAAACATGCAAAGTTCCGATGCAAGCAACTGTAACACCTTCCCCTCATATTAACACAACTGTCACATATTAAAACATTATAAAAGAGTTCAAATTTTAAAAGGGAACAATATCAACACTTTCTACAAGTTAAGTCTGTCAGTGGTTGCGAACATCAGCTGCTGCGAGTGACGACTGGCCCTCTTGCACAACTGGCTCTCTTCACACTATGGGCTTCTCCGACCTCACTAGAACCGCTGGGCTCTTCTTGCTGCTTACTGGAGTGTCAACATAAGTTTATACAAGGAACATGTTCTGCAGATCACAACAATATCAGTTTCTTCTTCTATGAGTGGGTTTACAAAAAATTGAGAGTGAAAGTGTAGAGGGTTTTACCAGAGATTTTTAAAAGGGAAAAATGTCCAATTTGGGATACAGATGTTCTAACAGATCATTTAAAATTTGGGGGACTCAAGTCTAGCTAAAGTTTAAGGTTTTAACATTTAAAGAATGCCTAGTTTAAGGATTTAAAGTTCTACAGTTCAAATTGTCTAGTTTAAAATTTTAAGGGTCTAGCAGATCATTTAGACTGTCCAATTTAAATTTTTTTTAGTATTGAGTAGGCTTAAGTGTGAGGTTTGTTCTTAGCCTGGAATGTTCTTTGATTGTCCCTTCCTTCTTGTGATCCTTTCCCTCCCTGCTTTCTTGTGGGCTTGATTTATCTCTTACTTCTCTGCCTTTATATGTTCTGTACTTGCTATTGTCTACTTGCCTTTGATTTTCTTTTGCCTTGTGTCCTATGTTGCCTTTTTATCCTCCATTCCTACTTGTTTTTTTCCTGCCACTATCGGGTATTCAGCTCTCCCTGCTTTTTTTCGTTCCCCATCCCCCTCACCTGTTGGTCTCCCACACTGTTCTGTTGCCATTCTGAGTCACCGGTTCGCTGATCCCCTGTGCTGAAATGCTCCACCAACACCAGCAGCCTCCGGTTGCACTGATGCTCTCCCGTTGCTTTCCACACTCCACTCAGGATCTGCTTCGTTGTGCTGCCTCTCGCTTCTAGCACTCCCGTATGCTGTGCTGGCGCTGCTCCTGGCTCCTCAGCCACGTGGCTCCCATTTGTGCTGTTTCTCCCAACAACAGGACTGCCCGGATGGCCCATGGCAAGCTCGCCTCTTGTCTCCTCTCCACAGCCAGTTCCCCTCCTCCTCCTCCCTGCTCCTCTCTCTCTCTCTCTCTCTCACTGGCTCGCCTTTTCCTTCTCTGCTGGTCGTTGCTTTGCCCTCAGTTGGCCCGCCTCTCTGTCCCACGGATGGTTTTCCTCCCTGCTCCACAGCAGGGCCCCACTCGCTCACCGGCTCGCCTCCCTGTTCTCCACCAGTGTGTTTTGGCTCTCCACTCACCTCGCTTCAATGGGCCTCCGTGCTCTTCGGAAGGCCTCTCGGATGCAGCTGGGCCTCTCTCAGCAGGCCAAGTTCACTGTGAATCGTTTTCCTCCTATTTCTCCAGTCTTTCCTCTCCTTTTCCTTTCTCCTCTTATTTTTCTTTCTCTATGATTTATTCTATGACTTGTCTTTCCCTCTCCACCTCTTCTCCTATCATTTATCTTACTTTAATAGCAACTTTTCTCTTCTTTTAACTCCCTGCGATGTAACTATGCTTCCTCCGTTGCTGCCATCTTGAATTATCCTGAGGGCAGGATAAGAAACAAAGAGTGAAATTTGTTAAAGAGAGATCCAATTTGCCAATGGCATTGAGGAACATACTACCCGATATGTTGTAGACATTAAAAACAGACTTCATGATCAGATGCTTAAAACTAAAACTCTCTAAAGTGGAACTTGAAATTAAATATTTAAAGATGGGCTCTGGCCATTTATTTAATTTAAAAGTTTATCTCAGATCTTACAAATGGAGCTTTAAAAAGTAGTCTAAAATTCTATTTAGTTCTTAGTAGTTGAAGTAGCTCTTCTCATTTCATATAAATTCAGATTGACTGGTTTCTTAATATTGTATTATTGTGTTGCTTTCAGGAAACTGTAAGGACACCATGACATGTGTAAAAGAGGAGATTTTTGGACCAGTCATGTCTATTCTACCCTTTGACACAGAAGAAGAGGTCTTAGAGAGAGCCAACAATACCCATTTTGGCCTGGCAGGAGGTGTCTTCACCAGGTACCATCAAGAAAGGGAATATATTTCAGAAGTGGAAGATGGCTGTGGCAAGTTGAGCTGCATATGCATAAGGCATTTATGACAGCTGTGTGGTTGGAAGCAGACAACCAGCTTGGAGCATGGCAAAAAGCTGTTTGCTGCATAGTTCTTCCATTTGATATAAACTGAGTGTTATCAGTTATCCTTACTTTCTGATGCCTCACTAAAATGTTATCCTTACTTTCTGATGCCTCACTAAAATGGTAGACATCCTTAGCCCATTTATTATCCCAGAGTTAATAAATGATGGACATTTGTACTAGAGAAATGAGAGTGAATTTAAATTATTCTGCTTTACAGAGATATCCAGCGTGCCCACAGAATAGCAGCTGGTCTCCAGGCTGGTATGTGCTTCATCAACAACTATAATGTCAGTCCTGTGGAGCTTCCCTTTGGAGGATACAAGATGTCAGGTATTCCACTCAGCAACTTTGCTGTAATATTTTGGCTGTTGACAGCTGCTTATATGATACTTGGCAAAAGTTGAAGAATTACCCTAAATTGGATTGTAAACTAAATTTCACAATTTCAGTGTACACAAATAAAGCAGCAGAACTTTATTACCCAGTTTACAGTAGCAGTGATAGCTAGTTTTTCCATTGATTTGTTCCTTTCTCATGATAATTTCACCTTCTTTCTGAAAACTGTTTTTATTTCAAAAAGAAGTTGGATTTACTTAAAAAATACAGGGCCTACTTATACAAACCTATTTTAGGAAGGAGGATGCAAATCCATTTAGTAAGGATAACTTCTACATGCACATACAGGCTGTAAAGAAACTTCTCTTAAGTAAAAAATCATGGTATTTTAAATTAAAACAGATTAGAAAAACTGGTATTAAATTAATGTTAGATTTGTAAACTATAGACCAGGGGTGAAATGCTCCCGGTTCAGACCGGCTCGTCCAATATGTAGCGATGGCGGCGGGCAGTTCAGAGAACCAGTAGCAAAAATCCTTGCCCCCGCCCCCCATGCCCAGCTGAGCCGCACGATCATCAGAGCCTTTTTTTTCTTTTAAATGGCTCTGACATTCAAGCTCTCAAGATCAGGCAACTCAGCTGGGATCGTCAGAGCCTTTTGAAAGCATTTTTTTACATGGTTTTACATGTAAAAAATGGTTTTAAAAGTAAAAAAAAAAAATTGGCCACGCCCACCGTCACATTACCCCCCCAAGCCACGCCCACAGAATCTGTAGTAACAAATTTTATATTTCACCCCTGCTATAGACTCATAGCTGCTCACTGAGTGGGTGAGGAAAAACACTTGATTTATACATGAAATATTTGTCATTTATAATTAGGAATCTAATGAGTCAGTTTTGTTCACTTCTAGAGTGAGACTATTAAGTCTGTTTCAACAGATTCCTCATTTTCTAATGTATTGTTTGCAAATTTTTAGAGCAGATGGTTACAGTTTTATAAATTTATCTGTCTTTTCAGGGTTTGGACGAGAGAATGGCAAAGCAGCAATTGAATACTATTCCCAACTGAAGACAATATTTGTGGAAATGGGAAATGTAGAATCAGTGTTCTAATGGCTGTAGTCTAGTTGCTTCTGGTTAGCGTACTATGGAGATGCTATGTACAACAGAAGCTGGAAATGATCTTTGCAGCATTTGATTACATCATTTTTTCCCTACAACTACTTTGGATTCCATTGTTTCTTTTTCCTTTCTTCTCTTGAAAGTACATAATGGAGAAAAGAAAACCTTCACTGGCCATAAGATTTTTTTCCAATCAGTCCCAAATAATTCCTTGACATATTGAGTTGAGTCTCAGCATCATATAAGTGTCTGACCATGTGATAACTTATATTTCCCATTACACTACCCAGAAACAAACATCTGCACAAAGGAGGTTGATTGTATTCCTACTGTCTTTTCTAGGCAGGCTGTTTTATATAAAGCAGTTTGAGCAAATAAAGGTTCTGGTACTGGACACTGAATGCATAAAATTACATGACATACACAATGTCAGAAGACACAGTATTCTAACTGTTCTCAATGTGTGGGGTGGGTTATGCTTTATGGGATAGGAGGATTTGATAGGAAATTCATTAAGCCCCTTTAACACAGAAGCATTTTGTTAAAATAGAATTAAAAACAGGTGATTCTGCCTTTCAGAAATGGCTGGAAAATCAATCCCTCAAAGCTAGGATTCTCTTTACTGGGACAAAAACTGTACCGTCTCAATAAATACAAGATTTCGTCTTATATGTTCTTTTCTCACTGGTTATACAAAAATAACCAGGAGATTGATTCCAGGAGAATGCAAATGATATTTTTTCTCCAAATTTGTAAAAATCAAAAACTATTGGAGGAGATAGTCAGAAATCAGAATTTTTTTCCTAAGTGAGAGTGAGTTTCATAATTCCCTTAAAAGATTTAATATATGGATTGATCTAAGTATTGCTGTTAGAAGCAAGACTTGCTAATTTCTGAGTAATTAACTACTATTTTAATATTAGTAGAACTGTAGTAAAGGTACAGTAAACTGTAGTGTACCTTCAAAGCACACAGAGTGGCAATGTAAATTATTGCCCCAAAGAGTTGAGTTGAAGGGCTCAGTGCTCCTCAACATCTTCATAAATGATCTAGATGAAGGGATTGAAGGAGCACTCAGGAAATTTGCAGACAACATTAGCTGGGGGGAATTGCTAACACTTCAGAAGATAGGCTCAAGATTCAGAAGGATCTTAACAAATTTGAGCATTGGGCCCTATCCAACAAGATACAGTTCAATGGACAGAAAAGTAAGGTCCTATACTTAGGCAGAAAAAAATATTGCACAGGTACAGAATAAGCAATGTATGGTTAAGGCAGGGGTCCGAAACCTTAAACACTCAAAGAGCCATTTGGACCCATTTCCCACAGAGGGAGCCAATTAATTTAACAACCAGTGTGACTGGGTGGGTGTGGCCAACTCAACATCACTCAGTCCCACCCAGTCACATGATGCCCCCCTGCCCAGCCCTGCCTCACCCCTCCCCTCCCAGTCACCTCTTGCCACACCGTCTCAACTGTGTTCTTTACCTTTTCCTCTGTCTCTCCTCTTTCTCCCTCCCTCCCTCTCTTCTTTCTCTCTCCTTTCTCTTTCTCTCTCCCTCCGTCTCTCTCCTCTCTCCCCCTCCCTCGCTTTCTGTCTCTTTTCTTTCTCTGCTCTGTCTCCTTCCCTCTTTTTCTCTCTATCTCCTCTTTCTCTTTCTTCTCTCTCTCTCTCCTCTTTCCCTCCCTCCCTCCCTCTCTCTATCTCTTTCTGTGTGTGTGTGTGTCTCTTCTCTCTCTCTTGGAAAGCCGAAGCTGGGTCAACCCAGCGAGCTGTCCTTGGGGCTCTTCGCTACTCCTTTTCTTTCTTCTTGGAAACTTTTTGGAAATCTGGGCTGGCTGAGGAGTGAGCGCAAGCCATGGCAGAGGCTTCCCTGAAGATGACCCTCCTTCTCCTCACATGACCCCTTGGCCAGCAGAGGTGGGGCCGGGAGGGTGCGCAAAAGCAGGGAGACCCTCAAGCGAGTGGCTGGACTTGACCAAAGCTCAGCAAATGTGTGTGGGGCAGGCAGGTTGACTGGCTGACAGGCGAGCTTCTTTGGCGAGGGCACTCTGGCTTTCTCTGAGCCTGACCCCAGGGTGGGCGTGCGAACTTTGGTGGGGCCAGCTCCCTTTTCCCACTGCCCTGAGCTTCTTTACCTGAGCGACCGAGGCATGCCCAGTACTAACAAGGGCCATAAGAAGCGCCCACGAGACCCAGCAAGAGATGAGATCCAGCTGCTTCTCCATCCCCCGTCGTCACCCTTACCTTCTCGGGCCAGGAGAGGAGTGACTGGAAGGGGAGGGGAGAGGGCCGGGGCAAGCCAGTTGTGGGATCAGCCGGTTCGCCGAACTGCAGAAGTTTACCGGTTCAGCAGGGAGCCACAGCAGAGGGGTCAAAGGTAGTGCCAGAGCCACAGGTTGCTGACCCCTGGGCTAAGGAAACTATATATGTTTAGCCTAATGAAGAGAAGGGTCAGAACATAGAATAACAGAAATGGGAGGGACATTGAAGGTCTTCTAGTCCAATCCCCTGCTTGAGCAGAAGACCCTATCATGTCAGACAAATAGTCATCCAATTTCTTCTTGAAAACCTCCAGTGGTGGTTTTCTAGAAGAAAGCCATTCCTCTGTTTTAATTGTTCTTCTGTCAGAAAACGTCTCCTTAGTTTTAGGTTGGATCTCTCTTTAATAACCTTCCAGGCCATTACTCCTTGTCCTATCTCATGTGCTTTGGAGAATAGGTCAATCCCCTCTTCTCCATGACAGCCCCTCAAGTACTGAAAGACTACTATTGTGTCGCCCCTGGACTTAGACAAACCTATTTCTTGCAAATGATCATTGTACAGTTTAGCCTCCAAACCCCTTATCATCTTTATCTTCTCTGCAAGCTTCCAGGATTCCAATGTATTTTTTATATGATGGTTATTAGAACTGGACATAATATTCCAAATGTGATCTTATCAGTGCAGTATAAAGTGGTATTATCATTTCACATGATCTTGAAACTATTCCTCTATTGATGCAGGATAGAATGGCATTGGCTTTTTTGGCAGTTGCAGCAAGATGCTGGCTGATACTTAAGTGGTTTTCCACTAGAACACCTAGATTTCCCTCACAGTCACTAATGTTGAGCCAGGTACCACCTATTCTCTACCTGTACATTTGGTTTTTCTTGCCTAAGATCTTATTTTTCTCACCATTGGATTGCATTTTGTTGGATAGGACCCAATGGTCAAGTCTGTCAAGTTCCTTCTGAATCATGAGTCTAAGGCAATAATGGCTAACTTTTTTGCCGTTGTG